GGAAACCCTGCCAGATTGCAGGTTCAAGTGGACACACATCAACTTTAGAGGCATTTTTGCTCCCATGGTATCAAGAGTGTATCAGTGATCTGCTGACTGGATTGTCTGTATTTGGATTAACAATCAAGTGGTCATGAAAGCAGGTGACAGGAAAAGAAAGGAGGAGTACTGTAAAAATGGAGTGGTTAAGAGGTTCAGCCATCACTCTGCATTTCATCATCAAAAGATACATGAACTGCATGGCAGTTGAAGAAGCACTGCAGTGCCAAACCAAGACAGCTCGGAAAAAGAACCCAGAGAAACCAAGCAAGAGAGCTAAAAAGAAAAACAAAGAGGCACTAATAAAGTGACAGGAAAGAATTGAGGAACAAAAGAAAAACAAGTAAACTACCAACCAAACCAACACATACAGGGGCATCTTGTGGTGAGCAGAGTGTGGGTGTGATGTGATGTTTTGTTTTGACACCTATCCATGCCTGTTGTTAGGGAAGTGCGTATACAGACCACCACCTTTACACTGTTAAGCCTTTGGGAGTTAATCAATATAAAATCAAAAAAAAAAAAAAAAAGACAGCTAGACAAAGAAAAAAGAGAGAAACACACTGTGGAAAAGAGAACTGAATAGACTTGTTTAGGGGAAAGATTAAACAGCTGCAAACAGAACAGAGTTTTAATCAGGTTTCAGATACTGGCTGTCACTCAAACTCACTCAGGGCTTTAAACTGCTTAGACACAACCAACATGTTTGGAGCAAGGATTAGAAAATTAAATCTGAGCATGAGCATGTTAACAGAGAAAACTTGGTGTGGATTAGTGAGTAAAAAGGATACCATGGCTTAAAGTTCTCCGGCACTGTGCCGGATTTCCGTGCGGGAATGTTTTTGATTTGACAATTGCTATAGGCCTAGAGAAAATATTCTCAAGATTTTTTTTTACATTGCCTAAGAATAGGCCAATGGCTCTACATGTATGTAAACAGCCATAAGGAACCCTGTATTTTCTACTAACAAAGTGCACCTACAGTACTTGTAATAACAACCTGTGTTTATACTTTGGCTCAGTGACAGCTTTATAATGCACGGGACTGCGGTGTACTACTTTGAAAGCACTGCAGTGAACAGGCTATTCATTTTGTTTTCATATTGTCATAATCTTTTGAAATAATTTAGAAATGGTTTGATTTGGTGATGCTGTCTTTTTGAAACAGGTGCACAGTTGTCATCCATTTGGCTTGTAGCCTGCATCCCACTAGCTGTCTTTTTAGCATCTTAGACCACTACCTATAATTTGTCTTTTGTTTGTGCATGTAGTTTGCTCATTTAGAGCATATAACAGTATCCTACATTAAGTATCCAGTCAGACATCAAACACTTCAAGGGCAAATCTAGAAAATTTTTGATGGGGTGGCCAGGCTGGGCATAGACTTAGAAAGGGGTGGCACATGTAAAAATGTAAAAAGTAAATAAAACCTCTAGTTCAATTAAATAATAAGCAATGTTTAAAAATGAGACACACACTGTACTTTCTTTAGCTAACTTTGGCTGTGATTCTTATTTAGCTACTGGCTGGGGACATTGCTGCTGCACTGAGGCAAATCATGCCAAGTACTCCACAGCAATACATTTAGAATAACGAATATCATGCTGCATGCATGATATCAAATAAAACTAATTTGACCAATATAATTTATAAAGCATATTTTTCATTTTCATTCATTAATACTGAGAAGCATCACATTTTAGTAAGTGTGACACCTACATAGGACATAAGCCTATACACTGATCAGGCATAACATTATGACCACTGGCAGGGGACGGGAATAAAAAAAACTGTCTGTTCCAAGTACCTACCAACAGTGTCTAAGGAAGGACAAATGGTGAACAGGTAACAGGGTCATGGACGTCCACAGCTCACTGATGATGAGGCTGCCCTACTGTAGATTAAACCTTTAACTTCTATTTGTACTTTTCAAAAGATTAAAATGTATTTAAAACTTTGTTGAAATGTTTGAAAATGAGAAATACTGTCCATTGGTCTCTATGAAGAGAAAGAGTCAGGGGCTGTAGTGGTGATATCACACAGAGTGGTGAGGCTGTTGGATTTGTCTAAGAAATTCTAACTTGTCCTCACGACCACGGTTTTCACTCCTTTACATACGTTTTTCACTGAATTGTAGGCACATCTGTGCTCTTCCTGACAGTAGAACTGTGGAAGCAAATGGATTCACAGAAGATGCACAGTGAGCTGCAGAGTGACAGGAGTGCCAAACAACTGCCAAGCTGACTCCTATGTAAACAGTATTAGGCAGGTGGTCATAATGTTATGGCTGATCGGTGTACTGACCTGCTTTGCTACAAGCAGATCAAAGCCACTTGCTCCCTGTTCTGGTTTATAGCTTTTAAGGCCACTGATCATGAAATGCTGCCATAATCAGAATGATAAAGGCCCCCCGCCAGCAATAGCCAATACTGTATCCCTTAAACTGACATCTTCAGAGGAGACTTCAGTACACAGACCAATGTATGCAAATAAATAAACACATATTACTGTTACTCCTGAACGGGGGGGATTAGAGCCTTGTAGCATCACCACTGCCAAACTGTGCCCTACATACCCACTGTCACACAAATCTATAAAATGTGAGGAGTGCTGTGCTGATGAAACTTGACTCCACCACCCCACTGCGAATCTATGAAAAAAGTGATAAATCACTTCGGAGACAGAAAGTTAGGGCTTGGGCCCACAAATTTGTGGTGGGATGGAAATATTAGCTTTTCAAATTGTGGAACAAATTTGTTGTTTAATGTCTTTGTCAGCACAGGTCGCCTGCCTATTAGCAGATATCACCCTGATGGTGATACCCTGATTTCCAAATCACCACGATGGGTGACATCTCTTTGCCACAATTTCACTGTCCTATGCTGCCGACTCTTCTGACAGTCACTTCTGTTTTAACACGTTTTATTTATTTATTTATTTTTTACATGGGTTGGCCCTACACTGGCAGACAGCCCTATTGCTGTAGCCTAATAAGGTGATAGTGATAGTGTTAGCCTAAATTTAGAACAGACACATTTATTGTAAATTACTCATTGGTTAATCATCATTGTCGTGGGATTTTTTCCTAATAATTAAAAAGGTCACTTTATCACCAAGCCCTACTTCCTGCTTTCACTAGATTTACAAACTGAAAAAGACAGAGGAAAGGGAGAGTGCAATGTAAATGAAGAAAGAAAAATAGATGAGAAGAGAAGAAGAGCGAGAGCCAGAGAGCAAGGGAGCACAAGACAGTATATCTTATATTTCCTATCCCTCCACGAAGGAGCAGAATTAGGCCCATCTCATGAAAGAGCCGAACCTCTCTGCATCAGACAACAAGAGCACCTAACAACAACAACATGGTGCATCAACCCTTTGTGTAGGATGCCAGCCAGGTACGTCTGAAGGTTTGTTGACTGGGTATGTTATTCAAGGCTCATCAGCACATGGAGATGCAGGGGAACAAAGTGCGGGGAGATGCTTTGAAGATCTGACACAAGCCTGACTCGCCCACAGAGAAAGGCAGAGAGAGGAGAAACAAATGCAGAGAGAGGCAGGGCTAGAGAAAGACTGAGCAAAAGAAAAGCCACAAGAAACCAGACATAGGAGAACACAATAATAAAGGAAAAGAGTGGAATAAATAAAGGATAAGCAAAGTTAATTAGTTTAAAATACAGAAGTCAACAGAATCACTCCTTTATAAATCATTATGCAGCTAACTAGTCAAAATAGCTAAGAATGCCCTTCACATTCTCACAGAGCTGAACATGATGTCTAATTGTTTTGTTCAAACAAAAACCTAAATACCCCAAATAATCCATTTACAATGATATGACAAATAAGAGGAAAAAAGAAAATCCTCATACTGCTGTATTGTTGTATTGATGGGCTCAAACACACACACACACAAAACAAAATAAGAGTAAAAAAAATCAGAAAACCCAGTTTACTGCTGTGTATGTTAGATGCAAAAAGGAGCACACATTTCTGAGGAACCACAGAAACCCACACATCCAGCAGAGCTGTAGTGGCTCTAATAGCATGGGACCGATTCTTATCACTTAATGTCACACATCTGTATGTACAGTTCCCTTCCCTGCTGATTATCAACCAAAATATATAAAGAAAAGGGGGATGCTGCAAAAATGCTTATTAGAAATGCATGTGTTGAAAACACCCACAAAACCAACTCCCATCCACTGGATAACAGGGCTATCAACTTCTCCTCTGATGGAAGTGCAAATGCAAAAGCATTAATGACTTTTAAACAGCTCCTCCTTACAGTCTTGACAATTCAAATCATCCCTGAAACACTGACAGTCTTCATTTCTCCTCTAACTGCTTATAGAGTCTGTGTGTGCTTTGCATCTGACAGTGTGTGTATATTGTCACAAGAAGCAACTGTGAGAATAAAATAAAACAATCTGTGCAAATGTGGCAAAACATAAATGCACACAACAGGAGGGCTCTGGAGAGAACAGTGTTGTGTGCACGAATGAGCATACACATACCTAGACGTCGTGCTGTCACATACAGTATACTGTATACGCAGTCTAATCTAAGTGCTAAACAGAACGCTTTGACAAACAGAGCCCATTTCAACACCCGCTAAACACAAGTGAATATCTAAATGAAAGCAGAACAGATGGATGGAAGAAAAGAGAGTTGAACAGAGGTTAGAGAGCTGTAGGAGGAGTTCATTGGCCAGAGAGTTGTAAAAAGAGAGGCTGTCTCATGGGTCCATGGGTTGATTCTCTGTGACCTGTGCTGATGAACCAGTAAGTAAGCCCTGAGTCCTGCCAGTTACAAAAGCTGCCACTCTGTGCTGTGGAGAGCAGTACTTTTAGTAAAGAGACATATTACTGGCCCTCACGTCTAAAGCACATCAGACAAAAGATTAGGTAGTTTAAATTGAAACTGAAATGGAAAAAGAGAGGGGCAGAGGAAGAGATGGCACTCACCGATGTACTCAAAGACGAAGACAACGAAGAACGGTGTCACCAGGTCATTGATGCCCTGCACATAGCCGCTGGCTGGGTGGCGGATGGCCCAGATGAACAAGATCCGCTCGAAAATCTTATACACACACACACACACACGAGTAAAAATTGTAGTCCGTAGACAGTAACATATTCACATTACACAGACTTGTCAATTTATACCTTAACATAATATCAAACAGAAAGCCAATAAGTTGTTGATATAGCTAAAATCTGATCCATTAACTGACTTATTTCACTCACAGATGATGCAAATACTGCATTTACTGACATTTTATACAATTATTCTCTGAAATCCAATTATATCTGCAAATGTCAAAATTAGAAAATAATAGGTTGTCAGAATGACAGATTTTAATAATCAAACTATACATTTTAGAATGTTGTGAGGTGTGCAAAGTAGCAGTCAGACCAATTTGAGGCCTTGCAAGCTGGTGAAGAGGAAAGTAGTTCAACTGGCGCAACATTGCTTTGGGAGTCTGACTGGAACACTACAGATGTGGGTATTGATGTTTAAGTTGATAATTTGTATTTGTTAGTATTTATGCTTCAGGATGTGTATCAAAGTGGCCACATTCGTTCATAAAACGTTTCAAATTTTGGCCGTTCGTCACTAGGGGCTGATGGAATGCACAACTGCTCATCCTCAGTCAGTGATTCCTGTTACCTGTATGTGCCACATCCCATTAACACAGTAAAGGTCTGTGAAAATGGTCAGATTTTGTGGGGTTTTGTGTTGGAGAGACAAACGCATTTGCTATTTGGAGAGGTTGATCTGGATGATGAAGGGAGCAAGAAAGGAAAAAAGGTCACATGTGTTGGAGCATTTTGAGCTTTTGTGGTCCATTTAGTCAAATGTAACATTTGTAACCAACATCTGGCATGTCATAAGAACACATCATCATAGTTAAGACACCTCCGTTCTAAGCATCCAGAGGATTTAAATGATGGGCCTACAGCAGGGCAAAGTGGAACTTCACGTGTATTTCAAACATAACCATGGTGGAGGAAGTTATGAACTATATACACGCCCAAAGGATTAATCTCTAATTCTACCTTATCTGTAGTTGGGTGTGAATCTTTTAGAGTATGCCCTGGAGGACAGAACAAGAGCTCACTGTCATGACATGAGTTCCAACCAGTCAGAAGACTGGGCCTGAGGACTTCTGAGCCAAACAGACAAAGTTTTTGCTCGGGCTGGCGCATGCCTACATGGGTCACTGCCACTCCTCAGACCAGATACTTCAAAAACAAGAAAGAAGGTTCTAGCCTCCTAAGTGTGCATCTCCCATCTGCATTTTTGTGTTCAATTCATTTTTATGTAGATTGCATGCTTACATCGCCACAAGAAAGTTTTTTTCTTACATTTTTATTTTAGCTGTGTATAGTGATCTTTAAATCTATTTTTGTAAACCAGCAGTACTCTGACGTAGCACTAAAGGGCCCATGGCCCCTAACTTTAACCCTAACCCTACAATGTTACAATGGTGAATTATCATCTTAGACATGACCTAAAGCTAAAAAAAAAGAGTCACAAAATAAAGTATTACGTGATAGTTTAAGGATCTCCTTGAATGGGCACAAAATCCAATCTGATCATACAGGAACATTCCCAGACATGCAGTAACCTCAGGCCCTGTATTTTTCTCCACATCCTCTGGTCACAGTGCAGCCAGCAGGATGTAAAATATATTCACAAAACCAGGCGCAGTTGAAAAATTCCGCTTTTACGATCCTGTGATAATCAGTTTAATTTAAATGTTTTCCTTTGAGACATTGCAAATGCCAAACAGTAGGAGGACCCTGGTGAAGCCAGCATCCTGAAAGGAAACACTGGCCACCTGAGAAGCAGCTCCACACTAAAGAGAGAGCCCATCCAAATCCGGCAATGGTAGCCTAATCTAACCAGGTATTCAATATTAAATATTAATATTCACACACATCACAATAATGAACAAAGTTTTCATATATGTTCTTAATCATTCTTTTCTTTATGTGTCTGCAATATAGTTTTATACCACCCTGCTTGCTGTGATAGACTGGCGACCTGTCCAGGATTTATCCTGCCTCTCACCCAATGTCAGCTGGGACAGGCTCCAGGCCCCCCGCGACCCTATTCAGGAATAAGTGGTATAGATGATGGATGGATGGATGGATGGATGGACCACCCTGTTTGCAGTTAGTGTATGATATTTACTGTCTAATTGTACAGCATTTTAAACTACAAATCCTGTATGAAGAGTAATCCATAAAATAAAAAATCTTTCAGAAAATATTTGCTGAAGCTTTCCAGTTGTGTTTTGACTGTTTGCCCAAATGAATGATTACACAGGCAGAATCTTCAGTGATGATTTTTGGACATTGTGGATCATTGAGGATTTTTGTATCTTTGCCTCTCTATCAGCACAGTGCAACACCTCACTCCTCAGTTCCTCAGATGCATTTCTTTGTACACAAAAAAGGCTCACTGTGAACTTTGTTTTCTGCTTTGATGTTGGTCCCTTCCCACCTCTCTTCTTTTTTTCACACTCACTTTGTCTTAGCTTAGGTCTCTTGATCTTCCCCTCTAAGTCTCTCTCCTCCTCCATCTCTCTGTCTTCCTACTTCAGTATCTTCTACAAGGCAAATGCTTCCATCTTCGTTATGGGTAACTGTTTAATGATGTCAGCCCCAGTGAATTAAAGAAGGCTAGATGCTCAGCTTGTTTTTTCTGGTGCAAGAATAGATTTCCCCAAAAATATACACTCTCCCCCACACCTTTCTATACCACACCCAGTGATCTCTTTCTGATTTTCTGAGAACATGTTACGTTTCTGTCACTTTCTAAATCAACTCATAGCTCATTATTGTATATAAAAAAAACAAACACGACAATGTCATTCTTTGGGAGATGTGTGCACAAACGTTCTCATTTCTAAATAATATAATCGGTGTTACGAAAGACCAGAAAGATGCCACTCTCTCCTGCTTTTCCCTCCTCAAATCACCTTCACCTGCCTCCATACCTCCTCTTTCCTTATCAAAGCCCCATCCATCAAACAAGAAGAGGTGCTGGTGCTAGCAAGGAGAGTGGCTAATGGGACTTTCTTTTCATACTACCTCAAAAGCTGGCATGCATATTGCACATTGGCATCTACACACAAAACCGCCTTGAGTGAACCCATGCACATACACACCGCGCTGCCCACACCCACTGTGGTATGGGTGAAGAATTCCACCTTGGTGTGTCTCTGTGTGGCAGCATTTCTATATGAAAGACTGAAGACACAGAAAGCCAAAGATTTCAGCTACTATCAAAATCATACTGTTTTCCTCAAAATACAACTAAACTAGATACTTGAAAATTCTGTTAATCTCATATTGACTTCATTTTCTTCTCGTAATGCAGAGCTTCTGCTTTTCTGTGTCTCCTATATCAAAACGCTATGGGTCCAAGTCATTATTTCCAGACCCCCAAAAACCGTGATAAGGGTAATCTCAAGAGACAGAAAGGAAACTGATACAAAAAACTGTGTCAATTCAAAGTATTCTTCACCACCACCTCACAAAGTGAATATCACTAAATGAGGCTTAAAGGATGAGTCCACTGTCAAAAGATTCAAAAGATCATGGGTTCAGGCTCTCCAATACCCAATCAATTAGTCAACAAACACACTTAAATGTTACTATAAATTCACTTCTTAGAAGTTATAGATATAAGCATCAGTTAAATGCCAAAAAAGAAAACAGAAATTCTGAATTCTTGCTATGCAGACTCAGAGGTCTACTGATGAATCTCTGTCAGCCTGTAATTACAATTTGGAGGCAAAATTGTCTGAGACAAACAATAAATAAATAAATTCTCTTCACACTGAGAACTTGTAATTGCTGATTATCAACATCTTGTGAAGACAGGATTGTTCTCCAAAACAAGAAAAAAAAACTAACACTTAGATACCACACAGGAAATCACTGCAGAATTACTTCAATATGCCTCTCTCCCTGAAATGAAACAGACTGTTGACTGCTTTCCATCGTGACTAAATCTCTCCAAGCCCCATGGGGGGGATGTGCTGAGACAAAGAAGTGAATGAAATGAAGCAGAGGTGACATTTTAGGTGGCACCGCAGGAACTATAACAATATAGAAAAAGGGCCTTTGGAGTCTGTTGCATACCACAATGTACAAGATGCACACCGCTTGAATATTTCACTGCACACTAGTGGCTTTCGTTTGTCACGCAAAGGGTAGAGCTGGTGTGGAGATGAGAGAGAGGACATGGGTTCGAAGAGAAAACAAAGTGATGTAAGGAGAGAAACAAATAATATATTCAGTACAGCAGCAGTACATACTGTACATACAAAGAATAGTAGGTAGAGAAGAGGTAGTCTCTTCCTTGTCTGACCTTATTATTTTTTTCCTTTCTTTTATAGTCCTGAATTGTAGCTGGTACAAGACAGGGGCAACAGGAGGTGATGTTGCCTGGGGCACTGTGTACGACTGACTGTGTATGAATGAATGTTTTTGTATACATCTATGAATCTATACACTGATAACTGTTAGCATGTCTCCTCATTTTGGCATTTTATTTTTAAAACACATCCCTACACTGTGTATGCTGTCAGGGGTGTGCACGTGTGCTTGCTCACACCTACTGTATGTGCAAAAAGAGGAGCCCAGAGCCCTAGCCACGTCCTTAGCCTGCACCGCATTATGAGATTTTTCTGTGTGTTTTCATTCCTGTACTTCTCATGCCAGAGGCTTCATGTATGACAAGACCTCCCAGAAGCACTGAACGAATAAGATCAGCTTAGGTATGAATGGCATTAAGTTAATTTTCTGTATTAAGTTGCATTAAGATGCACTGACAGTCCCTCAGGCATGCCAAACCAACTTCCTCCACACCAAGAATATTTTTCATAGCAGAAATTAAGTAACCACATTTACTTGTTAAGCATTTAAGTATCACTATCATCCAAAGTAATGTACATTATGAGTTAATAGTTAAGCATTCTGGAAATATGTGCCTTTTTGTATGTTTTTCTTAATGTGCCCTCTCTCCCACTGATAGTTAAACCTTTGGTTTTTAAGACTAGTTCTTATATCACCTCCAACACAGTACCCAACTGTAGCAAGAAATGCTTTGTTCAATTGTGCTAACTAAGCAGAACAAAGAAGTATGAGGCTGCACAACATGCAGTGTGAAACTTAATGTGGACCTGATCACCTGCGTGAGTGCAGGTAGTATGATGTAATTCTTCTGTAGGTGTTCTTAGTTTGTGCTTCTGTGTGTGCACCCATGCCAGATCATGCAGTGTACTGAAGCAAGGGTTTTCCCCATTTCAAATTCTCAAATAATATGACATCTTGGCTCCTTGGATCATGAACTGTATTTATGCCATACTTTGAGTTTTAATATTATTCTAATATTAAGCCCAATTTCTTCTATCTGATCCTAATATTATTTTAGCTAATTTTTTGTCTATTACTTGGATTCAACCCACCCACATATGCCTAAAAGCAGAGGGGAAAACCCTGCTAGATGAGGTGGTGTGTGTGCAGCAGAGAGGGTGGGGGTCTCACCTCTTGGACAGAAGCTTGTTGAAAGAGAGGAATAAGAGGATTAGTTCTTGGTATGTCAATGTGAATCTGCAGAGAGAGAAAGAGAGAAAACAAGACAAACACTGAAGCAACGGGCAGGTTAGCACAGATCTGGCCATCACAGACAGTGACACAGACCGAGAAAAAGCAACAGTTAGTGGATTGGTGTCTGTGATTGAAGGCAGACGGGGATTTCAGCGGTCTGAAATGGATAGCACCAGTGGTCTTGAGTGTGTGCATGTGTGTCTATGCATGTCAATCTATCTCGGTGAGCTTATGTGTTTGAGAGAACTTTTTTGTATGTGAGACCACATTTACACCATTTCAGAGTGTATACCCTGCAGATGAACAACACAACAGGCGGGCAGATTCATCAGATGGGAGCCAGATGAATGCAGGACAGTGGCTGGAGGCAAGCCAACTAAAATACTGTAGTCCAGACCACAGGAGGTGGACTGTTTGAGAGAGTGTGTGGTTTGTTACTGACAGGACTGCAGATTGAGTTGTAGCCACAGTCCTGCCTTCTCTGTCCACCTTACCTCTGTCACCTTTGGCTGCAGCACCAAAGACTCAGGATTCATCCTAGGAATATCTATGTGGATCTGACAGCAACATGGGAGAAAAAGATGTTAGACACACACACAAACACACACAATTACACTCATGAGTGCCAAAATAGAAGTCAACTTCTTGTACTTGCCCTCAACATTCTACATTTAAACCAGTTTTGACCAGCTAAAATTTTCTCAGATGTTCTAAGGAAGGGGTGGGTGTTCACAAACCTCCTTAGCAAAGGCAGCGAACGTAAAATTAGCATGGCCCGTCAATCAGAACAGTCACAATTAAGAGAGTAACGTCTAATCCACAACAAAAACATTTTTGGAAGCATTATCTATGTGCATCTCATGCCCATCTCATGCTGCAAATAAAATTATATTAATACCATCATATAAAATGTGCGTCTCCTGTAGAACCCTGGCATTTTTACGCTCTGTGTCTGTTTTTTCGCCTCTTCTGCATTTAGTAAAGCATAATCTCCACAGTCAACTGTTTAAATAACACAAATCCTGTTTTCTGTGTCTACTAGAATCTATTACAACTGATAAGGCTGCTTAATTTCACTTTCTCCCCCTGTAGAGCTGGAGAAAATCAATAAAACCAATAAATCCACAGGGTACATAAAAACATGATTTCTTCCCGATGAGCCTATATGAAAATTATTTTTGTCCAGTACATACGAATGTGCATTCTGACCGCCTAATGAAGACTCTTTCCTCTGCCACTGTCCTGCTGACAGACAGACAGCTGTTCTGATGACAAAGGCACAGGACGCACGACTGACATCTCGCTTTCAGCGCAGACTGAATGGAACCACGCTTTAGTAGCCCTTACACGGTGCTCACATTTCACTTTCAGTGTGTCTTCTCAGTAAGACTCGGATTGAAAAATCTAATGGTGATGATTCAAATGTCACTGAGTAACGCGTTTCTGTGCAATTTAACCAAGCACTGTAAGTATAGTAAGTAAAGTTTATTTATACAGCACCTTTCGATATCAATTGACCCAAAGTGCTTCACTAGTTAAAACAATTCAACTATATACTGTATCATATAAAATAGCAATATCATCATAAAAACTACAACAAAAGATAACTACTTATACTACTGATTCCACTGGGAATCGGCACCACTTTTGCAACTTTCAGCAGCATTCAGTGCATTTTTCCTTTTTGATTCTCTAGCACATATGATGGAGTTCAAAAGACTCTCATTCCACCATACTGTATAAAACTGCAGACATCTACAATCAGCTCACAAGACTGCCCAGGCCATCTGCAAAGAACAACATGGCAGGCTGAAAATGTACACAAATCAGCCATAACATTGACCACTGATAGGTGAAGTGAAAAACATCAATTATCTCATTACCATGGCACCTGTCGGTGTGTGGGGTATATTAGGCACCAAATTAACATTCAATCCTTGAAACTGATGTGTTAGAAGCAGGAAAAACAAGCAATCACAAGGATAGCATAGCAGATGGAAGAGAACAAAATAGCAGCAGAACTTCAAAAACCTGCAGTACAAGTTGGGACTTCTACAATTGCTGCATCCATATACATACATATGTATATACACAAGCCATTTGGGCAAGTTACAAATAACATACATAAATACATAAAATGAAATATAAAAACATACAGATGGACAAACATGAGAAGAGACAAACGAGAAAGACAGATGGGGACTCAGAATGGATGAACGACTATCCCATATGAACACAATGACAAACATTAGACAACCAAACAGGTACATGTTAGGGATGGGCAATGATTTTTGAATATTTGAATAGTCATTAAACTTAAAAAAATTACTGAATATCAGAATCAGAATTGTCTTTAACGGCAAAGTATGTTTGAACATACAAGAATTTGACTCCAGTACGGAGGCTCTCAATGTGCTGGAAGGCAATAGGAACAGAAAACAAAAACAAAAATAGAGCAATAAAAATGAGAATAAACAGTGTGTGCATTCAAATAGGAAATGTGTGCAATAATAAAACAGGAAAGGAATGAGAGGAAAGGAAAGACAGCTTCCATAAATATATGTACACCATGGCACAAGAGCTTCCAGATTGGTATACACATGGTTATACGCTGCTCAAAAAATTAAGGGAACACTTAATCATCACAGAATAACACCAAGTCAGTTAAACGTCTGGGATAACAATCTGTTCATCTGGGAAGCACAAGTGATTGTGAATCAGTTTCACCTACTTTCGTGCAAATGACAGTGACAACAGGTGCAACGAAGAGGCAAAAGCAAGACAACTACCAAAAAGGGAATGGTTTTGCATGTGGTGGCTGGGAAGAGATCTCCCATGACACCATCTACCGACAGATTAGGAGCATGATTTTGGTTTAAGATGACTGCTGTTATGTCATTTAGTTCTGAATAAAATGTACAATGTACATTAGTAAAGATTTTCAACTTGAAAAATGCAGTTGACAAGCTGAAAATGAAGTGTATCGTGATTATAATAACTTCAGTGCCAAATTTGTGGACACACATTATCACATGAACAAGAGAGAGTCTCCTATTGAAAAACTTTGATTTTTTGCGGGTAGAAGTGATTTTTCTATTCCATTGGCAAAACATTTAAACACATTTCCTTCTCAAAAACACTGGTGACAGGCTGAAAATGAAGTGTATCATGTGACTATAAGAACTTCAGTGCCAAATTTAGACACACAACATAACATAAACAAGATTGAGTCTCCTATTGAAAACTGTTGATTTTTTGCAGGTAGGAGTGATTTTTATGGGAGCTTCTGTGTCCAGTTTTTAGACACAGTAGATTATTAATAACAATGAATTCCTCACTGAACAATGTTGATTTTTGAAATGAATGTGGATTTCCGATGTCGAAAGCCTGTCAAAAAACGCTGGTGAAAGGCTGAATATGAAGTGTAACGTGATTATAAGAACTTCAGTGCCAAATATGTAGACATACAGTATAACATGAACACAAGTGCGTCTACCATTGAAAAACATTGACTTTGCCTTAGAAGTGATTTTGCCATTCCGTTGGCGACAGTTTTAAACTCGTGCTTTCTTCTCAAAAAACACTGGTGAAAGGCTTGAATATGAAGCGTCTGCAGAAATCTTCTCTGCCTGACCTGTGTGATGTACAGGTCCTCCATGGAGGACAGGCTGGCACAGATTATTCTTTCTGCAGTCCTGACTGCCCACTGAGGTCTTTTCCTGTCCTGTTTGGTTGCTAAACCAAACCAGACAGTGTTGGGAGTGCAGAGAACAGACACAATGATTTCTCTGTACAACTGTATCAGCAACTCCTTGGGTAAGTTGAACTCCCTGAGCTGGTGCAGGGAGTACATCCTCTGTTGTGCTTTCTTGATGATGGTGCTGGAAGTCCACTTCAGATCCTGTGAGATAGTAAAGCCCAGTAAACTGAAGGACTCTACTGCTGATACAGTGCTGCAGAGTACGGTCGGGAGTGGGTGCTTCCACTGTTATCGCCACTGTTTTGAGGGTGTTCAGCTCCAGGTTGTTTTGGCTGCACCACAGGGTCAGCTGTTCAACTTCCCATCTGTAGACTGACTTGTCACCATCTTGTCCAGGTGCTGGATGTGATTTTCCCTAGCCTCACCTACTGCTTCCTGTCTGTCAAAAAGCTGGTGATCCACTGACAGGTGTGGCTAGGCACAGTGAGCCGAGTCAGTTTAAAGTGAAAGATGTCTGATGATGGTGTTAAACGCAGAGCTGAAGTCCACGAAGAGCATGCGTAGGTCCGCGGGGAGTTGTGGTGAAGATGTAATGCAGTGCTATGTTGACTGCATTGTTCATTGACCTGTTTGTTCAGTAGGAGGGGGGTCCAGCAGCGGGCTGTGATGTCCTTCAGGTGGGCCAACACCAGTCTCTCAAAGATTTTCATGCATGCGCTGCACGGAATGGCAGCAAGTTTCAGCAGCTCTGGTCTCATCGTGTTTTCTTTCGTGGTTTTATTAAGTTTTCTAGTGTTTGCTTGTGTTATTCTCTTGCTGTAGTCCTCAGTGGTGCTGTGCTACCAGGAGTACAAATTGTTACTGCGTTTGCATTATGACTCTTACTATTTCGCGAGCTCCGGAGTCAAGAGACGCCGGTTGCATTGTTTACACCCGAAGCCAACTACTAAGCACTCAGAAGCGACCGGCCACCTCACAGGGAGAAGCTGGAGATTCCCTCGGAAATACAGTGTAAAATGCGGGGCTGCAGAGCCGGCATAATGCGCTGGGAGATGAAACGGAGGTATAAGCCTGTTGTTACTGACTTTGTGAAGTGGTGTGAGAAAAATCAACTGGTCCTGGACACCAGTAAGACTAAAGAGATGGTGATTGATCCCCAGCGGAAATCACCACCACTCACTCCGGGGAGCTTTCAGGGCTCAGTCATTGAGATTGTGGATACCTTTAAATACCTGGGGGTCCACCTCAACAATAAACTGGATTGGACTGAAAACACTGATGCCCTGTACAAGAAGGGCCAGAGCCGCCTCCACTTGTTGAGGAGATGGAGGTCCTTTGGTGTGCGTGGGGCACTCCTTCAGACTTTTTATGATACTGTAGTGGCATTTGCAGTTTTTTACGCTGTTGTGGGCTGGGCAGGTGGCAGCATGGACAGGGACAGACTGTTACATCCCCAGTGTAAGAAGGAGCGTTACCATAGGTCGTTCCTCCCCACAGCAATCAGACTGTACAATACATCACTACAGGGATAAGCTAGGTGAAATTATGAGGAACTATGCAATGGTAAACATTGCAATACTCAAATCCTGGGGTAAAATGTGTGGTTAATATGCACATATGTAAATTCTGTTCTTAAAATCTGAAATGTATCAAGATATGTGTGTGGTGATTGTTCTCATGGTGTTATGTTGTTTGTTCTCCATTGCTGCTGAAACACTGAAATTTCCCCATTGAGGGATCAATAAAGTACCTACCTACTTACCATGACCACAGATGTCAGGGGAACAGGTCTGTATTCACTCAGTCTATAATGGAGGGTTTCTTGGTAACCGGGATGATGGTGCATCATTTGAAGCAGGAGGGGACCTCATACAGCTCCAGTGATCTGTTGAAGATCTGTGTTAAGATGGGGGCCAGCTGATCAGCACAGGCTTTCAGGCAGGAGTGGAGTCACACAGTGTGGGCCTAGTGTATAGGATGATGTCCCCACTTCTGTAGGCCTCCTCTTTGGAATAACGAAGCCGTTTGAGTTTTACTGTGAACCAAGGCTTGTTGTTGTTGTTGTATGTGCAGAAGATCTTGCTGGGCACACACGTTCTCACAGCTGCTGTATGATGTCCTAGTGTTGCCATGAGATGGACCATGCAGTAATCAGAGAGACTGAGGGTGGCATCAGGTACAGAGCGATAGGCGTCTTTTATTACCATGTAGCAGTGGTCCAATGTGTTGTTGTCCCTAGTGGGACAACTGATGTGCTTTCTGTATTTGGTCATTTCATGGGTGAGGTTTGCTCTGTTAAAATCCCCTAGAACAACAGAGTCAGGATGTTTCAGTTCCATGCAAGTTATCTGGTCAGCCAGGTACTGCGGTGTTATATACACACACCAACCGAAATGAATGAGGAAAATTCTCCTGGTGAATAAAATGGCTTGCATTTGATGAAGAGAGTCTCTAAGTCTGCATTGCCAGTTTTTGCCAACACTGTGACATCTTTACACAAGGCATGGGTAATTAATAAAAATTTTAAAAAAAATTAATATTTCATACTGCAATGGTTTTGTCTTTAAAAACAAGGATCCAATGTTTTCCCTTGCTTTTACCAGAACCTGGAAATAATGCCATAATGAGGTCAGTATATCATTTTACTACAGTGCCAAATACAAACAGCAGAAACATGCAGTGACTACAGCCATCAAAAACTTCTGTGTGGAACTTTGTCAAGAAAATATACGAAAAGTTTAATGGCATTTGTTCAAGCGAAGTATATTGTCCAATCAAGAAAAACGGTCACAACATGACTGGATAAACTGTATGATAATAATGCATGTAAGCTATGCAGTCATTTGACAAGTGTTGAAAAGATGTTCTCCTACCACAGATGCATGAACAGCACTTACAAATGAATCATATGTGACAGTCATCTGCCATTATATAAGCAACTGGAAAATAAGGAGTGCTGTCCTTCAGACTCAAGCGGGGTGGGCAATTCCAGTCCTCGAGGGCCGCTACCCTGCTTGTTTTTCCATCTAAAACAGTATCTTCCAATTTGCAATATGGTGTTAGCCAACATGGAGCCACTGGACTGGGACTCAGCAATTTTTGAATAATTGGCAAATAGTTCCCAGTGAATATCGAATAACATTTTAGCTTGAAATGCCCATCCCTACTACATGTGTGCAAATACATCTACAGTCCCTTAAGCACCTAGACAAAATATATATAAATCCACTGTTGTGTGCAATTCGAGTGCCAAAACAGCATTTGCACAAGCACAGATGAAAAAATCATTATAAATCACTGCTCACTACATCACCGCATATAGTGCTGAAACAAGCAGAATTTGGCAGAGAAAGAGAAAAAGAGGCTTCAAGATGCCATCCAGAGAATCATCAAAACAAAGTATGCCAGCTTTTTGGCACAGTGCAGAGGAGATCAATGGGAAATTGGACAAAATATGAGAATTGTGTGTTTTTGCTATTGACAACCCACTTCATTTCTTACTGGCTTGAAATGAATGGGATGTATTCAAGTTATAAATGAAAGTGTATGTGACAGGAGAGAACGACAAGAGAGTAAAAGTAGATATTTTCAAAGCCAAAGAGAACTGTTCATTTAAGCAGCTTCCTGAAGCTTGGGGCTGGCTGTGTCTACTTTGAACAGAGCTCAACCACACCGCCTCCATGTCAACATACTGTAAACAGATACAGACAACAGTCCTGAGTACACTGGGGAGAAACAGGAAAGGACACAAGGAGAGAAACATAGAAAAGCACTTTTGCCAGATAAGTGGTTCCAGTAATCCTTTCTGCAGGGCCCAATCCTGTCAAAACACACCCTTTCACACACATACACACACGAACATGAACAGCTTTGTATCATGGGTTTGTGCTGAAAGAATACATTAGAGACAAGAGATTGTTCTTGCAATTGGAAATGGAATCTTTTGTAATCTGTCTCTTATTTTGTCCTTCAAGTTCAGGGATTCATATAGGTGTTTAAAAAAGCCAGATGTATGAGAAATTACTGAATGCACAAGTAAACTGTATCATGAATGTGTGTGTGCTTTAAAGTACACATATATACCTGTCTGTAAGTGTCTTGATGGTGTTCGTCATTACGGGAGTCATAGTATTGCTGGATGAAGCCAAAATATTCTTGTCTCTTCCTCTGCAGGACGCTTTCTCTTCTCTCTGCATTAGCTGGCAAGTAACCCTGAGAGAAATGAAAAAGCAGCAGAGAAAGAAAATGAAATAGAGAAGAGTACACGAGTGACTTGTCTAAGTGAATTCAGACTACGAAGCTTACAATGGTAGAAAAACATCATACATTCATGAATCATTGAGAACTCTGAATGTTAGATTTAGGAGCGACGGCAGTCTTTGTGCTAAGCTAACCAACTGCTTCCTTGATATTTACTGGACAGACATTAAAAATGGTATAAATTTTCCCATCTAACTCTAGGCAACTATTCCTTTAAATATCAAATGACCTAATGTGTTTTCATTATAACAAACAAAAGTCAATATTCATACTTCCTATTTAGGATTTGATACATTTTTCTGTATAATAACTTCGGGTGCCACATACCATTTCGTGTGTGTTGCATATTACAAATGTAAAATTGCTCTGGATTTCACTACTGTACCATGAAATGAAAGGTCTCCAAGTATGGCAACAGACTGATGCCTTCAGTCTTTGGCACTGAAAAATAAATCTTGGCATTAAAAAACAAAACCATAACTAAAAAAGCTAACATTGGCATTGAAGCAGTTGAATTGAAAAACAAAATGGCATTTAAAGAAAAAGTATTAATACTGGAAAAATGACAATCTTCTGATTTGTTTGTTTGTTAAAGTAAGCCTTTTTCAATGCCAAAGCTGTTTCTTTCAGTGACAATCTTCTGATTTTTTTGTCAATACGAGTGTTTTTCAGTGCCAAGTTTTTCTTTCAGTTTCTCTGTCACTGTTTTGTTATGGAGGCTAGGGCTTTGAGGGGCAGGGCTAAGGTGAGTGTGATTTGCTTTCTCCCTACAACTCATGTTGTGGTGACATAAATCTATTTATACAGTCAAATAGTGGGGGACTTGATGTCCTTATGGGGACAAAAAGCAAGTCCCCAAAATGTAAAATGTTGAGTGATAAATTGGTTTACAGTTTGATTTGATTTGATTTATTCTTTCAAGCATGTAAAAACAGTTGATATGACAACACATGATTTTACACATAATCCAATATCAATTTGCTTATACCTAGTACATGCTTGAATGGAGTAGGAAGAAGTCAGACTTATCCAGTCCTACCCCATGACATCATCTTACCATCATTGGTTTGCAAGCAGTAAATGATTCACTTCTACCCACACACATATTATACTAAAAAAAAGAATATAACAGTGTTAACATTTTTACATCACACAAGTAATATACTAAAGAAAGTGTACACCACACCCACAATTGTCTATGTAATTAATCATTGAGCCTGTTCTTGCATATATCTTGATTGACACATACCTTTATATTTACTGTATATTTAAACTCGTCAATTCTATTACTATTTTTTATGTCTACACTTAAATTACTCCATAGTTTTACCTCACTTATGGAAATACAAAATCTTTTTTTGGTTGTACGTATAGCATGAATTTTT